CATCTTCAGAGTGCAGGAGCACAGACAGGAGCAGTTCTCTCTGTGCCATTACACAGGTTGTATAACAATGAATTGCTTCAAGTGCAGATTTGTAATTTGAGATCCCAAACCATAACTGTGGGCTGTTTGGTGTTTCTATAACATTATAAATATAGAGCCACAGGACAAGGTAGCTGGGCATACTTGTATGTGGAAAATGTAAGTATTTGCTGCTTATTAAATCTCTCCAGAAAATCTAGTGGTATGTAAATTATTAGCAGTGTTTTCTCCAAAGTTTCTTTTTTTTTTTTTTCCTCTACAGTTTTTAAAATGAAAATGAAATAATTGTAGGGCAATAAAGTCTATAATAGACATGCTTTAAGGTATTACTAAAGCCTAGGAAGCTAAAATATTTTGCTTTTTGCAGCTCCAGATCCACAGCATGACAGGAAGCCTCTTTTTGCCATGCAAAGCCCAGTTCCAGCCCAGCTGTACAGCACAAAGGGGGCTCCTGGTGCGCCACAGCTCTGGGGCTTTTTGCTTTGTGTAGCCCCAGAGCCGCAGCACACCAAGAAGCCCCTGAGCCAGAGTGTATTCTTTCCCCAGCCTTCCTGAACTCGCGCTGCACTGCAGCACCCACCCCCACCCCAACTTGCGCGCACCCTGTGCTGGCCCTCCCAGGCCGCCTCCACCCCCCCACCCTCTGTGGCACCCTTGGGCTCCTTGCCAGTGACTCCTGCCTCTTCCCGCTTAACGACCCACTCATCTTGGGTTTACGACAGCAACTGGGACTGTGCAGATTGCCGTCACTAAGCAATGCGGTCAGGTGACATCACGCTGTGCAACCGCATCGCTTAGTAACAGAAATTCCAGTCCCAGTTGTGAGTGTTAGTTGAGGACTACCAACTTGTAGGCCAAAATAAGTTCTTCACCAAAACGAGTTCATTAAAGAAATACAAGGTATGGTGTTCCTTCCCACCACACCCTTCATTTGGAGTCTGTATATAAAACAAATTTCACAGCAGTTATAATCTTAGTGGTAAAATATAAAAAGAGAAGCAATGGGCTGAGCAAGTGAACAGGTTTAGCAGGTTTTGCCCTCCTATATTAAATACGCTGTTTGAAGAGAAACACGGCTTTGTTAAAATGGTTAGGACTCGACAGAACAGTGTTACTTGTTTCTCCAGAAATACTCTGGGGTCAGATGGATATTTTTGGCAGCTGTTTCTGTATATGTATTCAGATAGAATTAATTCTAGATTTCAAACTTTTGTTACATATTACAAAAAAGACTGGCTTTCCCAATATGATTTTTATATTTTGATCCTCTTGTAATTAGAAAATCAATCATTGTTACTCTGTGAAATGCAGATATTTGGCTGCAAGTGTATTATTCTAAGGTGACTTGCTTGCATTGGACTGGGCCCATAATGTGAAAGCAGCATGATTTTGTGAAGATATGTGCCTGACAGCCATGTAGTAGGTAACTGTGATTAGAATTTAATGTAGCACTCCATGTCTTTCTGATCTGAAAATGTACTTAGTCCTGGTTGGTTGGTTGGTTTTTTTAAAGAAGACAAAAATAAGTTTACTTGTTTCCATAATTGGGCATGATTCATCTCCTTGTCTGTCTGCATATGCATGTTTTAACAGCTCCAAGGAAGGAACACTAAAAACTGTTTGGGGGAGGCTTTAGCCGTGAGTTGCCTCACCACCAAAAGATTTTCTGGGAAGTGAATATCCTTTGCCACAAGAAGGCCGCTTTCCTATCTCTGGCCAGCTGTGTCTGAGAGGGGACTGCCTGGCAGCTTGTTTCTACAAATGGGACGTACGCATTTTGCTGTAATTGGGGAGAATGCTAGAGTTACGCTGTTAAATTGTTTTTCACTCCCTTGCCCTTTCTTTTAACTCTGGCACTTCCAGAACTTGAACTGGGCACGCTGCTCACCTGGAACCATTTTTCTTTTGCTGTGTTAAATTTCTGTGAAGGGCTTGGCAGTTTTGAATAATTTGCATTAAATCAAGGGAAATAGCATTAAAAAAAAAACAAACCTACTGAATTGATGTATCACAGTTCTGTTAGGTATTTCTTGACTGTTTTAGTCATTCTACTCCTGTTCCTTGATGGCTGGCTGTGCCACGGAGTGAATGGTGCTGTGTCGGGCCCCTTTGTGGCCGCGAGTCTTAACAAGACCAGACAGTGGCATCTCCTCGGGCTCTGCCTTGGTGTTGCTCATCCTCTGGAACAACCAACACAGCTGCTCCTCAGAGGACTTCTCCCAGCCACATGCACCCTCAGCTGCTTAACGGTGCTGCTGCCAGGCGCGGTGGGGCTCAGCTCTCCAGGGCACCCTCTCCGAGGGCTGCGCCCAGCCTGTCCTGCAGAGGCTGCAAAGAACCGAACAGCAGCTCCAACTCCTGCCGAGCCCCAACTATGACCACGGGCACCTCCCCAACAGCACAAGTAGGTGGCAGAAGAAATGCTGCAGCTCCGACTTCTTTGTGGGGCACGTCCTGCCTCTCTAGTGCAGCTGGGTTGCCTATGGAGAAAATAACCCAAGACTGCCTGAATGAGGGCTTACTAAGCCGGATTTGATGTCTTCTGAGAAAAAAACTGCAGGAGGGAAGCACGAGTTTTCAGATTCCAAACCCTAACATAGAGCTCATTCTGGGCAAGCATCTTTTGTTTCAAAAAGTGGTATGCAATTCAGCAAAGTTTCTTCCAGTTTCTTGGCAATGCCCATTGCTTACCCTTCTGAAAGTAGGAGAGGGCTAAAAGGCTTTAGCAAAAAGTGTGATTCTTGTCTAAGTTCCTGTTCTGAACAAGGGTCCAAGAGAGGAAAGGGCTCTTTTAGTATTATGGAATTGGGGTTCAGGGTTCAGGGTATGAGTGGACTTGAGAACTTCTCAGAAATGCGTAGGATGACCTCTGCTTGAAGCTACCAATCCCCAAGTCCTACTGGTTCTTTTTTGTCTCTCTCCACCTGTACAAAAAAGAGGAATGAGAAATTACCCAGCAAAAGCACTTGTAGTTGGCTCAGTTTGTAAGCCTTATTGTGTGTTTAATTATTAATTATGTTTTGATTAATTTGATTAATTATTTTGAATAATTATCAAGTTTTATAATTATCAAATTATCCATTAAGGTATTTTACCTCATAGGAAGATTCTCTGGCTAGAAATTAAGCTGGGAACAGGGAATCTAAAAATGCAAGATGAAGTCACTGAAACATTCATTTTATAATCATACATGGAAGAGTTCTCTTTCCAACTAGGCAAACAGTTTTAATACCCATTAAAATGGAATATTGTAATGCATAAAACTGCATTACAGTTTTGATTCATCTTGTCTAGCTTAAGAGAAAAAAGGGATCCTTAGCAAAAACAAGAAAAGAAAGTAAGAAAAAAAGAAAGTGCCAGGCATTATTTGTGCATTTCTTTTCTAGCTAAATTAGAATCTGATGGAAAAAATACTAATTACTACTACTACTACTACTACTCCTGAACACATCTAGCAAAGGCTCTTGTCATCATAAAACACTGGTCTAGCAAAGATAGAACCCAAATGTATCTTGAAGCCATTTATTTTTCATGATCAAAGAATGATTTAGTCTGTCAGCTGAATGATTGCAAGAATAGTCTTTACAGATAATCATCATTTAGCGACTGTTTGCAGTGATGACAGTGATGAAAAAGTAACATTACAACCAATCCTCGCATTTACAACCTTCACAGGAATCATGGTTTCCCTTAGCAACTGCTAAGTTGCCAGTCCCAATTGTGGTTGCTAAATGAGGACTACCTGTATTTCCAGTGGCAAATACAGTTCCTGGTCCTGAGCAACAGAGCAAGGGTGCGCTCAGTTTCCATTCGATGAGAAGGAAAGGAGCCTTCAAGAACTAAAGCTGTTGTGCTCAGCAGTCTTCTTCTGGAAGAGCTATCAGAAAACAACCTTGGGGTGCCTTTTACACACAGCATGAAATACGGAATGATGCTTAATACAAACAAAGGTATAGGTGAAAAATATTTCCAAAGAACGCAGGTACTTTTGTTTTACCATCAATTTTCCACAAAAAATATAGACTTCAATTCCCTGCTCTAGTTTGAAAAAGAAGCACCACAAATCTGTTGGCTATTGCCAGGAAAAAAGTCAAAACTTGGGAAAGCTGGGCTGTGTAGCCCTTGTGCCGGGTGGCCTCTGGCAAGTAGTTAAGGCTTTTCAGCACAGGTTTCTTCATGGTCCCCTGACGCACGAGAGCTGGGATGTATTTGTGGTTGCCACACAGAGACAGGAAAACCCTGAGCAGTGATGGAATCACTAAACCATTACAGCTCCCAGGCTCTTCCTCACAAATGATCACCTAAGAAGGACTGCAGGATTTGCACGTGTGCAAAGGGTCAGGATTGCTGTGGCAAGCTTCCTAGCTTTGGAGCTCAGTGAGAGGTTAGAAAGGATGTGGATGACACAATGCAGTTGTTAATCCATGCCAAATATAGATGACTGGCTGCACGGAAGTTTACATCTGTCCATATACACATATAGGTAAACAAACACAGGCTTACCAACTGAATTATAAGCATAGAAGGCCTGTGTTAAAACCCGTTGTACCATATGTTCTTGTGTGTAGTATTCCTGAATACTACGTATATTTGTTCAGGCATGTATTTTAATTCAAACATTATAGGATCAATTTTTCAGTCTTCCCCTACAGGGAAGACTTTACTTGCTTGCTTTTGTCTGCAAAATTGTCCACTGCTAACAGGTTCAAGGCACCTTTGCTTTGAATTTTGCAGCTATCCATCCAACTTTCTATAAACTTTCAACATTTGCCATTCAAAAAATGAACGTTCATCAAGGAAAAGAGATGCACAATTATAGCAACTTCTCTAATGCTCCCCACCTGTATTAGGCTACAATTCTAATCATCCACAGCCGCTGATCCTCTTTCTTGCTTATAATCCTGCTACACTGCCATTCACCGAAGCGTGATTCCACCCGGCCATACCATAACAGAGGTCTGTTGGAAACGAGCAGCTAGTTAAAGACCTGGTTAAAGCTGCTCTGTTCTTACGCTGCATAAAAACAGAGCTTGGGTCAGGCGGTGCCCATCTTACGAGAGGACTCAGCCCACCAAAACAAAAAGGCAAGAACTACATATCAAGCTTGGTAGCATTTGAGTTAGGCAATGGGATTTCTTCATACGCGATTTTCACGTAAGGATATTTCATGGGCAAAAACCAGTATTCCAGATTATAAAACAAGTAAAACTGATGATCTAGAACAACCTCCTCAAGTATTTTCAACAGGTTAAGGAAGAATTCCTTCACTGAGTGATACGGTTTGAAGGGCAAGTAGAAATTTCTAATAGCTAATGCCAGGGATTTGTTTCCCACTGGTCCGAAGAGAGTAGTTTCATTGCCCAGGCAAGTGGGTTCTCCGCTGAAGAGAGTGATGGTTGTGTAATTGGTCTGGATCCTCTTGAAAACGGCCCCCAGCTCAGCCAGCTTCTGGTAGGTCCTCAGTACAAATTTGGAGCATTCATACGCCTCAAACCAAACACGGCCGTGGTCTTCTGGGCTGCTCTTGACTGCCCAGGTCTCATAGTAAATGCCAGTTTCATTGTCGTATTTCACCCATTTCGCCATTTGATTGAATATAGCTCCTAAAGCAGAAAAAAGGCACCATTATATTTTAGGAACTTATTTGCACAACTGCGCAGACTCCATTCTACAAAATAATCCATACCCAGGGGAAAAAAAGGATTTGCAACTTCATTATTATGCTGATTCTTTTGCTATTTTGCAGAATCGTGTTTTATTTTTGCTAATTCATCTGCCATCATCTGCAAACGCTTACATATTTGGTTATAAAGTCCAGAACCTCATAATTTATTAAATAAAAAGACACTGCTCAAACTCAAAAGACTAGAACGCTGTGCTCGTCATTTTATTCAGGGACTCCAGAAAAGAACAGAATGTAAATTGCCAATAGCACACAAGTCTTTTCATCTACCTTGCTCACATCACACAACATGGGCCAATTAACAATTGTAGAACAGGAGTTGCAGGCAGCCACTCATCTATGGTGAGTTACCCCTGATTACCTGAAATTGTAGCCACCTGGACCAGGGTCCCATTCTCCTTCCAGTGGGCGTCATCAATGCCTTCATAGAAACAGGCCGCCCCCTGGTTGCACCAGAAGGGGGCTGGGGTATCAGGCCGCAGGTGTGGGAAGGTGCAGTTCCCAAGCTGGAAAAGCTCGTACCACTCCATTGTGTAGTTCTTCCCAGTCGCAGAGCTCCTGAACCCCACAGCGTCGTGCATAATTTTCTGGGAAAGGAAGCAAACAATGGACGGTAGGAGGGGTGGGCTAGGATCCCTGTGCCCAGACTAGAGTAGCCAGGCGATAAATAGTCCATCAGGGGCTTTAAAAGCTGCAAGGCTCTGAGGATACAGCGCGGGTCCCTGTGAGCCCAATTTAACACAACCAGTGCTTTGTTCTTCAAAAAAATGCTCGTGGCTTTCCTCCGCGAGGTGTAGTTGCACCCTTTGCTGACCCCAGCGCCCTGCCCCCATCTTTCCTAACCTTTGGCTCCACTGACCTCCAAGAGATCTGAGAGCCACTTGGGCTGAGAGGATGCCCGACAGGATGGCACAACTGGTGCCAAGGTGTGGCTTTGGCTGATCAATTTGGCAGATTCGCACAACGTGAATCCAACCCTCCTTAGGATTTTCTACAACATGTGAACGCAGCCACCCCATAAGAGTAGCAGTACCCCCTCCCCCCGCCGGGTCCGGACCCCAAGCCTCCGTTTTCTGGCCAAACGCAGCCCCCGGAAAGGGCTGAACAGGGGCCTCCTCCGCGTAAGGAAGGCGAGCCTCTCGCCTGGCTCCCCCTCCCCGCACGCTGCCCCAGGAGCTGGGACCCAGGGAGGAAACAGGCGTGCAGCAAAGGAACCGGGCGGAGGAGCAGCGAGTGGGTGGTCCCCGGAACGCCCTGCTGCACCGGACGGCTGGAGCGGCCTCCAGAAGCGGCTGGCTCCGAAGGGCCGGGAGAGCAGCCCGCCCCAGCACTTCGCACAACTGGCCAGCTTAACGCAAAGCGACTCTTGGACACCTTGACTTCCTAGGAGAGGAAGGGAACCAGTGCCAGAATCCAACAACTGACACTAGTCAGGAGAACTTCTTTTTCACTCTCCCTGAAATTTGCTGTTCTAAACGTATGTCGGTAGAAGTTTTTCAGCCACAAGTCGAAAACCTCGGGGCTCCTTGGAAAGCAGTGCGCAACGCTCCCCGGAGGCGCTCGGCCCGGCCGGGGGAAAGCGCGTCCGGGAAGTGGAAGCAGCGTCACTTCGGTCGCGAGACACGGCTGCGATCGGAGGGGAAGGGGAAGGGAAGGGAAGGGGAAGGGGAAGCGGCTCTACCAAGCGGCCAAGAAGGCCTCCGTATCTGAATTCCCAGACGGGGGCCTGCAAGCGGTACACGTCCAGGACGTCCGTCTCCCGCATCTCCGGGAGGGCAGAGCCGGTCGGGCAGAAGGCGTACCGCGCCCGGCAGAAGGGGTCCGCCCGGGGCCGCCCAGCGAAGCGCCTGCGGGCAAAGAGGGGCGTCACCTGGCGGGGCAGCGGCTCTCCG